ACAGTCAAAAATCCATCTTTTTTTTCTTTTTTCTTTTTTTGAGACAGAGTCTTGCTGTGCCAAAAGCAAGCAGGCTCTTTGGCGCCCTGCCAAAAATCCATCATATTTCTTTAGACTAGCAGTGAACAATTGGAAACTGAATCTAGAAAAACAATACCAGTAATAAAAACTCCAAATTGGCCGGGCACGGTGGCTCACACCTATAATCCCAGCACTTTGGGAGGCCGAAGCGGGTGGGTCACCTGAGGTCAGGAGTTCAATACCAGCCTGGTTAACATGGGGAAGCCCTGTCTCTACTAAAAATACAAAAATTAGCTGGGCATGGTGGCGGGCACCTGTAGTCCCAGCTATTCGGGAGGCTGAGTCAGGAGAATCGCTTGAACCTGTGAGGTGAAGTTGCAGTGTGCCTGAGATCTCGCCACTACACTCCAGCCTGAGTGAAAGAGCGAGACTCTGTCTCAAAAAAATAAAAAAGGTCCAAATTAAATACTTAGATATAAATCTAATAAAATGCACAATACACATAGTATCTATATGCCAAAAACTGCTGATAAAAGAAATCGATGGAGACCTGAGTAAGTGGAGAGATGTACTGTGCTTATGGATATAAAGACTCAGTAACATGTCCATTCTCCACAAGTTAATTAATGTATAAATTTACTTCAATTGAGGATTTTTTATAGACATAGACATGCTGATTCTAAAATTCAAATGGAGGCCAGGTATAGTGGCTTACGCCTGTAATCCCAACACTTTGGGAGGCCAAGACAGGAGGACCACATGAGCCCAGGAGTTTAAGATTAGTCTGGGCAGCATGGCGAGACTTCATCTCTACAAATAATAAATTAGCCATGTGTGGTGGTGCATGCCTGTGGTCTCACCTACTCGGGAGGCTGAGGTGGGAAGATCACCTGAACCCAGGAGATTGAGGCTGCAGTAAGCCATGATTGTGCCACTGCACTCCAGCCTGGGTGACAGAGTGAGACTCCATCTCCAATAATAATAATAATAATTTAAAAATTCAAATGGAAAGGCGAAGGAACTAGAATAGCCCAGACAATTTTGCAGAAGAATAATGTGGGAGGAAGTACACCACTCAATTTTTTGGAATTGCTATGAAGCTCTACAGTTCTCAAGACTGTGATACTGACGAAGAGATAGACATATAGGCCTTTGAAACAGTATAGAGAATCCGGAAATAGACCCACACAAATATGTTCAACTGATTTTTGTCAAAAGTGCAGAGGTAATCAGTTCAGTGGTGGAGGAAGGATAGTTTATTTGTTTTGTTTTGTTTCTTTTATTTTGAGACAGAGTCTTGCTCTGTCACCCAGGCTGGAGTGCAGTGGTGGGATCTTGGCTCACTGCAACCTCGGCCTCCTGGGTTCAAGTGATTCTTCTGCCTCAGCCTCCCAAGTAGCTGGGACTACAGGCTCACGCTACGACACCCAGGTAATTTTTTGTAATTTTAGTAGAGACAGTTTCACCGTGTTAGTCAGGATGGTCTTGATTGCCTGACCTCGTGATCCGCTTGTGTCGGCCTCCCAAAGTGCTGTGATTACAGGCATGAGCCACTGCACCCGCCCCAGGATAGTCTTTTTTAATGCATTGGGACAACCGGACATCCATGTGCAGGAAAGTGAACTTCAACCTAAACCTCACACCTTACCCCAAAACTGGAAAGGATCATAGATCTAAATGTAAAACCTAACACTGAAAAACTTCTAGAAGAAAACGTAAGAGGTCCGGGCACGGTGGCTCATGCCTGTAATCCCAGCACTCTGGGAGGTCAAGGCGGGTGGATCACCTGAGGTCAGGTATTCAAGACTAGCCTGGCCAACATAGTGAAACTCCGTCTCTACTAAAAATACAAACATTAGCTGGGCGTGGTGGTGCACGCCTGTAGTCCCAGCTACTCAGGAGGCCAAGGCAGGAGAATCACTTGAATCCAGGAAGTGGAGGTTATAGTGAGCCGAGATCATACCACTGCACTCCAGCCTGGGCAACAGAGTGAGACCACGTCTCAAAGAAAAAAAAGAAAAAAAAAGAAAACATAAGAGAAAATCTTTGTGATCTTGGATTAAAGCTTTTAGCTATCAACTGAGTATGGTGGCTCACGTCTATAATCCTAATACTTTGGGAGGCCGAGGTAGGAGGATCGCTTGAGCCCAGGAAGTCGAGGCTGCAGTGAGCTATGACTATGCCACTGTACTCCAGCCTGGGCGACAAGAGCAAGACGTTGCCTCTGCAAGGGGAAAAAAAATTCTTAAATATAACACCAAAAACTCAATCCATAAAAGAAAATATTGATAAATTATACTTCATCAAAATTGAAAATTTCTGGCCAGGTGCAGTGGCTCACGCCTGTAATCCCAACACTTTGGGAGGCCAAGGCGGGTGGATCACCAGAGGTCAGGACTTGAAGACCAGCCTGACCAACATGGTGAAACCGCGTCTCTACTAAATACAAAAAGTTAGCCAGGCGTGGTGGCGCATGCCTATAATCCCAGCTACTTGGGAGGCTGAGGCAGGAGAATCGCTTGAACCTGGGAGGCAGAGGTTGCGATGAGCCGATATTGCACCACTGCACTCTAGCCTGGGCAACAAGAGCGAAACTCCATCTCAAAAAAAAAGGAAAAAAGGAAAATGTTTGTTCTGAGAAAACTACAGTTAAGAAAGTGAAAAGACTGGCAATAGACTGCAAGAAAATACAGGTATTTAGAAATCACATATCCAGCAAATGACTCATATTCAGAATATTTAAAGAATATTTTTTTTTTTTTTTTTTTTTTTTGAGACGGAGTCATGCTCTGTCGCCCAGGCTGGAGTGCAGTGGCCGGATCTCAGCTCACTGCAAGCTCCGCCTCCCGGGTTCACGCCGTTCTCCTGCCTCAGCCTCCCGAGTAGCTGGGACTACAGGCGTCCGCCACCTCGCCCGGCTAGTTTTTTGTATTTTTTTTAGTAGAGACGGGGTTTCACCGTGTTAGCCAGGATGGTCTCGATCTCCTGACCTCGTGATCCGCCCGTCTCGGCCTCCCAAAGTGCTGGGATTACAGGCTTGAGCCACCGCGCCCGGCCTATTCTTTCAAATCTACTTCTAGAAAAAAACCATGCTGGCCGGGCGCGGTGGCTCAAGCCTGTAATCCCAGCACTTTGGGAGGCCGAGACGGGCGGATCACGAGGTCAGGAGATCGAGACCATCCTGGCTAACACGGTGAAACCCCGTCTCTACTAAAAAAAATACAAAAAACTAGCCGGGCGAGGTGGCGGACGCCTGTAGTCCCAGCTACTCGGGAGGCTGAGGCAGGAGAACGGCGTGAACCCGGGAGGCGGAGCTTGCAGTGAGCTGAGATCCGGCCACTGCACTCCAGCTTGGGCGACAGAGCATGACTCCGTCTCAAAAAAAAAAAAAAAAAAACAAAACAAAAAAAACAAGAATATTTAAATTGAGCCCAGGAGTAATATTTACTTGAGCCCAGGAGTTTGAGACTAGCCTAGGCAACGTGGCAAAACCCTGTTTCTACTAAAAATATAAAAAAATTAGCCAGGTGTAGTGGTGCACAACTGTAGTCCTAGCTATTCAGGTGGCGGAGACATGAGAATCGCTCGAACCCAGGAGGTGGAGGTTGCCAGTGAGCCGAGATCCACGCCACTGCACTCCAGCCATGGGGAGCAGAATGAGACCCTGACTCAAAATAAATAGATAGGCCGGGCACGGTGGCTCACGCTTGTAATCCCAGCACTTTGGGAGGCTGAGGCAGGCAGATCACCTGAGGTCAGGAGTTCGAGACCAGCCTGACCAACATGGAGAAACCCAGCCTCTACTAAAATAAACACAAAATTAGCCAGGTGTGGTGGTGCATGCCTGTAATCCCAGCTACTCAGGAAGCTGAGGCAGAAGAATCGCTTGAACCCGGGAGGCAGAGGTTGCAGTGAGCCGAGATCACGCCATTGCACTCCAGCCTGGGCAACGAGTGAAACTCCGTCTCAAATTAATTAATTAATTAATTAAAATTAAAACAACAGTAAGAAAATAACCCAATAAAAACTGGACTAAGACAAGATATGGGATGGCAAAAAAAAAAAATCACATGAAGATCCGGCCACTGCATTCCAGCCTGGGCGACACAGCGAGACTCTGTCTCAAAAAAAAAAAAAATCACATGAAGACAAGCGCTGCATGGTTAGTCATTAGCACGATGAGGTGCCACAGCATACCTATTAGAATGATTAAACTTTTGAAAACAAAACAAAAATTGAAAGTACAGATGCTGGGAAAGACAGAAAGCAACTATAACTCTCACACATTGCTGTTTGGAAAACAAAGTGATAGTGCTACTCAAGGGAAAAAGTCTGGCAGTTTCTTACCAAGTTAAACATACATTTACCATACAACCCAGCATTTCTACTCCTGGGTCTTTACCCAGAAAAAAGATAGACTTATGTTAAAGGAAAACCTACATAGGAATGCTGATAGTGGCGTTATTCATTGGTACATGGATCAGGGTCCTCCAAAAGCTAGACTAGGACTGAGTCAGTAAGCTTCCTTGCAGATGGAGTCCCTGTCTGGATCTGCAAAGGCCACCTGCCCCAGCCCTGACTGTTTTATACTAATAGATTCATTTGAGCAAGGCCCAGAGTTCATCCACTGTCCCACACGGTGGGCTGATGGAAGCTTGCTGTGAGCTGATTCAGCTCCCTCAGCACACTTTCCATGGCCAAAGATCATCAGTTACACTGAGGGCAAACTAATCGTAAGGATTGAGGTGAGCATAGGTTTCTGCTAAATGATGCCTGGACCTTTGTACCAGAAAAAAAACAAAGCTATAAGCCTTGCTATGGCTGAGTCTTCAGGAATTTTTAGCCAGTCTAGCAACATGACTCGTAATTATGCACAAATACTGATTGCAAAACTTAGTTTGAGGAAATAATGGTGGTGTTCCTTTACAGATCTTATCAACATTTCTATGAACAAAACTTTGACTTGGTTTCTGTTTCAGATCACAAAAATGGACAGCACTTTATAATACCTCAAATGGCAGACAGGTAAGGCCATTGAAATACCAGTTAGTTTTGTCTATCACTAATATTTCCTTGGTTGTGTTATGTTTAAGTATATTATATTTTGTGTTTAACAAAGCCCATACATTTTTCTCTTTTATGGCTATACCATTTGGAAATAAGACGGCTGTAAGTAAACCACCATATAAAACTTAAGTTTCAAAGAGCACAAGTAGCAGTTTTACTAATAGGAAAATTGGAATCAGTGATATTGTCACTGTTTTAGCCAGTTGTGACAGTATTATTTATTTATTTATTTATAGAATACGTCTGTGTTATAGAGATTACATTATCTATGACAGGGGTTGGCAAACTTTTCTTCTCAAGGGCCAAATAATAAATATTTTAGGTTTTGTGGGCAATATGGCCCCTTTCACAATAGCTTAACTCTACTGTTGTAGATGAAAGCATCTGTGGACACTGTATAAATGAATGGGTATGTCTATTCCAGTGAAATTTTATTTCTGGACACTGAAATTTGAATTTCAAATAGTTTTCACGTTATGAAAGATGGTTTTTTCTTTTTGCCCCTCAATCATTTTAAAACGTAAAAACTCTTCCTAGGTCAATTGAACAAAAAGGCCATAATTTTGCTGACACCTGATCTATAATTGCAGATGAGTTCATTGCTACAGGAATGAACCTTAAACCCTTGTTTTGCAAATTGCCTTTGCACAGAACCTGTCAAGAGTTTATGAAATGACTAAATGCTATTCCCGATACAATCTTGCCATCCCGATCCTTTACATCTTCCCTTTTTGTTTTTTTGCTTTGGTAGAGACAGGGTCTTGCTATGTTACCCAGGCTGGTCTCAAACTCTGGGACTCAAGCAGTCCACCTGCCCTGGCCTCCCAAAGTGCTCGTACAGGTACGAGCCACTACATCTAGCCTCGTATTTTCTTTTCTTTTCTTTTCTTTTTTTTTTTTTTTTTTTTGAGATGGAGTCTTGCTCTGTCGCCCAGACTGGAGTGCAGTGGTGCAGTCTAGGCTTACTGCAACCTCTGCCTCCCAGGTTCAAGCAATTCTCCTGCCTCCGCCTCCTGAGTAGCTGGGACTACGAGTGCGTGCCACCACACCCAGCTAATTTTTGTATTTTTAGTAGAGATGGGGTTTCACCATGTTGGCCAGACTGGTCTCAAACCCCTGACCTCGCCGAGCACGGTGGCTCACACCTGTAATCCCAGCACTTTGGGAGGCCGAAGCGGGTGGATCACGAGGTTAGGAGTTCGAGACCAGCCTGGCCAAGATGGTGAAACCCTGTCTCTACTAAAAATACAAAAACTAGCCAGGCACAGTGGTGTGTGCCTATAATCCCAGTTACTCTGGAGGCTGAGGCAGGAGAATTGCTTGAACTCGGGTGGCAGAGGTTGCAGTGAGCCGAGATTGCACCATTGCACTCCAGCCTGGGTGACAGAGTGAGACTCCATCTCAAAAAAAAAAAAAAAAACCCTGACCTTGTGATCCTCCCACCTTTGCCTCCCAAAGTGCTGGGATTACAGGCGTGAGCCATCGAGCTTGGCATATTTTCTTATATCATGCTTTTTTTTTAATGCTTCAAAAATTGTGACTACTCACATAAGGGCCTGGAAGGTAACCTGGCAATAGCTTTTGTCGTTTAGTTGGTGGACAATTTTTTTTTTCTCTTTAACACTTATATGATTGTGGTATTTCAGAAGGAGTTACTTTCACCGACTTGTTCTGTTTAGAGCTCCTCACTGGCTATCGGTCTGTAGAATGCTTGGTTCTAACATGGTCCATGAACTATAATTAATATTTTTATCTCTTGGGTGTCTTAAACTTTACAGAGTTCACAAATCTGGCTTTATTTATTTGCTTATTAGCTTTGTATGTTTTCTTAGCAGCCTGGATTTGTCTGAATTGGCAAAAGCTGCTAAGAAGAAACTTCAGTCTGTGAGTATACCTCTGTACTGGTTTTCTCTAGTATGAGAATCGGTGCACTCTGCTTATACCTACTCTCAATGCAGGTTACCTATTGCGTCTGATGACTTTATTTCATACTTTTATTTGTTAAATTAGAACCAGACAATTGAGTATACAGCAGTGATGACCACAAGGACTATTAAGTTCAGTATATTCAATTCATTGGTTCTGCTTCAGATAATCTCGTTTTTCTCTGTCATGTAAAAAGTGCAGATGGCACCTTTGGCATTAGGCAGTTGTTCTCCTCAGGAGAGTTCCCTAGTTTCTCTCAGCGTCATGAGTAAGTAGGGCACGCATTCCTGGGGTGACTTAGCCACATAGGGTTCTAGAACATGGTAAATGCTGATGCTGAAATGGTAGCGAGTCCCATAGATTCACTCGCTGCCATTTGGATCCAGCCATACTGTAACCCTCTTTACCATCCCATGCCATTCATCAGCGCTTTTTAAATTTCCACTGTTAAAAGCTGGTGGTCTTGGCCCACGTGTGTGCTCAGAGTTTGCCGGGTCTGCACCACAGCCTCCCTTTAGCCTGTATCTTTCTTCCAGACTGCCCACCTCAGCCTTAGGAAAGGCCTAAGGGCCCAAGGCCTCAAGAGAAATCTGTTTCTCTGGGATTGACTTCTCTTTGTCTAGTCCCTTCACATGAAGCCTCACCAGGGTACTTCTCGCTACTTTAACCACCAAAGTATACTCCTCAGCTGTTCCCATTGCTCTTTGGATCAGAACCAAGATTCTTAACTTCTTTCTGTAACCCGTAAGGGCATCATTCAACTCTCACCTTTCAGAGATTGCCCCACTTCCCATCTGGTTCCGTGTGTGTGTGTGTGTGTGTGTGTGTGTGTATGTATGTGTCTGTCTGTGTGTCTTTGTGGATTAACATGCTCTGAGGCCATGAGCTGCGCACTCAAGTCCTCTTCCAGGAATCCTCCTCTACCTGCAGTGTTTGCCTTTCCCAGCTTCCATCCCTCTGATCATTCAAGGACCTGAAATCTGACCAGTGTAGGTAGTGGCTTTCCCAAAGCCTAACTCTGACATTGCAGCTTCCCTAATTTATGACTTTCTCCTCATTTCCACTTTCACAGAAGACCCTTTACTAAAACTTCATATAATACTCAGTATTAAATATTACATAAAATGAATTTATCCTTACTAGTATTTAACTGTATTATGAAATAAATGTGTTTTATGCAATTTGTTTGGTGTCTCTGTGTTCTGTATCTACAGTTTTGTGTGTTTGTGTGTTTTATTGCCTTAAGGAAGTTATAGACTAAGATGATCAGGATGATAAGCTTTGGAGTCAGATAGCACTAAATATTGTGTGATTTCCTTTTAATTACTCACAATCTGTAAGTACATTTTATTATAAATAATTCAAACCTAGATAAAAACCCACATTTTGTTAGACTATCCTACACTTGCTTCACTGGAAGCTGCATGAAAGCTGAGATTATGCCTGTAATAGCTCTAGCATGTGACAGGCATGAAGTAAAGACCTGGAACAGAGTCTAGTATAGCTCTCAAGAGCTGGGGTTTGGGTCAGACTAGTCAGTACATATCTTAGCCCTGCCAAGCTTCCTAGCCTCCCTGTGCCTTGGCGTACTGTCATAGAAAAGGGAGATAAGGATCCTGCAGGGGCTGCCGACCAGAACTGCTCAGAGTGGGCTGCCACTGTTACTTGTTGACCCTCACCCTGTGGTCTCCTTCTCACAGGTGACCATGTTATCAGTGCCAGGTCAGTGTTTATCCTCCGGTATCTTCCTCCTGTCCTCCCTCTCTTCCTCCCTTCATCCTTTCTTTCCTTTCTCTTTTCCTTCCTTCCCTCCTGATGAAAAGCTGAGAGAAATATAACAAAGGCTAATGTATTCCTCGAAGGAGTAAATGTTAGCATTTTCAAAGATATAAACTTGGATCTCAGGTCCGTCACTTACTAGCTTTGTGACTTTAGGCAAGCTACTATCTTCTCTGCCTCAGTTTCCTTGTCTGAAAAGTGGGACAATAGTAGTTCCTGCTTTCATAGAGGTGTTATAAGTTGGCCATTGTAATTGTTGCTAGTGATAACATTAGCTTGTAGTCCCATGGAGGAAGAAACTGGACATTTATGAAGCAAGGTCAATCTCCCAATCCTTCATCTTACCTAGCAACAGGCTCTTGGGGTTTGTTTTTAATTATAGTGTGACCACATTTGGGAAGATTTGAAAAATAGAGAAGGGGGACCATCCTCATTGCCACACTCTTAATGGAGTCAGGCTCAGTATTTTGGTACATTTCTTTCAGTTCTTATATGCATATCTTTTTAAAAAACTAGAACTTAATCATAATTATAGATGTTTCTAACCTGCTTTTTTCACTTAATAATATATTGTACCCATTTTAACATGTTCCTATGAGGTCTCTGTAACCAGCACTTGTTTTTTCTCTTTTTTTCGAGACAAGGTCTCACTCTGTCACCCAGGCTGGAGTGCAGTGGTGCCATCATGGCCCACTGTAGCCTTGAACTCCCAGGCTCAAGTGATCTTCCTGCGTCTGCCTCCCAAAGTGTTGGGATTATAGGCATGAGCCACCACACCCAGCCTGTAGCCAGCATTTTAAATTGCTGCATTCAATACCTTCTGGCCAGCCAATGTCTCTTTTCTGGCCCCTCTTAAAGTGTGAGGTACCATGTGTGGATGTAAGGAACCCAATAGGGAATATAACAGATTCAGCATCTGTCCTCCCAAAGCAGATGTCAGACAGTTTAAGAGTCACAACTACCACGTGTCAAGGTGTTTTCATGAGGCATAAAGTGCAGAGATGCAGAGCCACCCTAGCAGGGGCTTAACCTCATCTGGGCCAGGAAGAACTCAATTATCCTCCATGTGCCCAGGGAGGCACTGCAGGCCGTGAGGCAGTTGTGTGCTGAAGAGTCAGGCTGTGCTTTGTTAGGAATCTTCCTTCTGGAGACTGAAACAGTAGGACTGCTACTGAGAAAAAGAGCAAAGAAACTCAGCCGAGGTCTGGGTCATGTTTTTGTGCAAGGGCACATTTTATCCTCTCAAAACAGCATGTCTTTTGCTTTTCTTTTTTCTTTTTTGAGATAGGGTCTTACTCTGTCACCCAGCCTGGAGTGCAGTAGTGCGATCTTGGCTCACTGCACCCTCGACCTCCTGGGCTGAAGTGATCCTCCTGCCTCAGCCTCCTGAGTATCTGGCACTATAAGCATGCACCGCTACACCCAGCTAATTTTTGTATTTTTTGTAGAAGTGGAGTTTTACCATGTTACCCAGACTGGTCTCGAACTCCTGGGCTTAAGCAATCCACCTGCCTCAGTCTCGCAAAGTGCTGAGATTACAGGTGTGCACCACTGAGCCTGGCTATTTTTGCAAGGGTATAGGATTGCTTACACTTTGGGGAACTGACAAACACTCTTTAAGTGCAGAAAAGGAGGCTTACAGGGTGATATCACAAGAAGAGTAGAAAACTGGAAACTGCTTCTGAGATGATGTACTTTAGATGCCTCTTAGCTCCTTAATAGCATCAGCCCTGTCTGTGTCATAAAGTAGTGAAATTGCTGTGGTTCGCAGACATTTCTAGAGGCCCTGTATGATTGTGAAAATGTTACGTCTGTTTAACAGTGGGTATGTACCAAGCACTGGCATTGGATAAGACATAGGCAATAAAAGGGTGACTAAGTCGCAGTTCCCTCTCGTCCTCCTGGTGTTAATCGTTGTCCCTTGTGTTCCTGATATTTTTTACTTTCAGCTAAGTAATCATTTGTTTGAAGAACTTGCCATGGATGTGTACGACGAAGTTGACAGGCGAGAGACGGATGCAGGTGACTTGACGTGGCTTTATCTAATAAGCTTCTGTTATCAGTGGGCAGTGAAAAGCTGCCAGGCTCAGTGTTTTACTAGCCCAATTTCTGCTGTCCTGATGGTGCGAGTGTCGACATTTGCCTTTGTGTGTGTTGGCTTCAGAGTGTGTTTCCCCTCGTAATGCGTGAGCTGTGCCTCCCAGGAGCAGTGACACACAGGTGTGATAAGGTTTGTCTCTGGCTCTTTCCTCTGGCTAGTCTGGCTTGCCACGCAAAACCACAGTGCCCTGGTAACTGAGACAACGGTCGTCCCCTTTCTTCCGGTCAATCCTGAGTACTCATCAACACGAAACCAGGCAAGTGACTCTGTTTGGAAAGGAATAGTAGTTGGGGAATGACTGATGTCATGGTATTTCATTTTCCCAGGACAAGTATTCTAAATTTTTCGATTGATTAAAATTTAATATCCTTTATACATACACACACACACAACCCCCAAAATGATAAGAAAAACAATAGACTATAAATAAATGACTGGGAAAGAATATGAAACAATTCACAGAAGAAATATAAATGTTTTACACATGTGAAGAAGTGTTTAACCTTGTCAGTAATCTAAGAAAGCAACCTAAAAGCATTAGTGCAAGTTTTATCAGTCAAATTAATAAAATACATAATAAGGGATACTCCAGACTGGTAAGGATGTGGTAAGCTGAGCTTTCTCTTGCAACAGATAGAACTTTAAATTGCTGTAGATGTTAGAAAAGCAATTTGTTTACCAGTTTCGGAAGCCTCAGAATTAAGTACATCCTTTTACATGGGAATTACTCATTTGAGAATATGCTCTAATAAAATAAAAATAGATTTATGCACAGTGATTTTCATCAAAGCACTGCTGTATGTAATAGAGCATTGAAAACAGCCAACACATCTATCAAGACGAGAAATGTTGAGTGAATTAGGAAGGTGTTTTAGTCTTTACGATTAGCAGCTATATATAAGGATAGGGTACATCTATGACTTTGTTTAACTTAAAAATTTTTTTTTTTTTTTTGAGACGGAGTCTTGCTCTATTGTCCAGGCTAGAGTGCAGTGGCACCATCTCAGCTCACTGCAACCTCCACCTCCCGGACTCAAGCGATTCTCCTGCCTCAGCCTCCCCGAGTAGTTAGGATTAACAGGCACCCACCACCATGCCTGGCTAATTTTTGTACAAAGTCCTGACCTCAAGTGATCCTCCCGCCTCAGCCTCCCAAAGTTCTGGGATTACAGGTGTGAGCCTGGCCTTAACTTAAAATTTAAAAATTCCCCTCAAAATTAATTACTGAGTCTACTTCCAAACTGAAACAATAATAGAAGAAAAGCATTCAGTAGAACCATTTTATTTTTGCTTACCAAATAGATCTGCATTGTGAGAACAATGCATATGTGAGAAATGCCATAACATTTATTATGAAGTTCTGTTATATAAATGGTTTTAAACTGTTCACATGGAAAACAAGCATTAACTTGGTTTGATTATGGCTGGGATTAACTGTACTTTGATCATCCAGAAGAAAGTCTTTGCAGAAGTCTGTCAATTGTCTAATTTTATGTGACTGTTTATGTACATATTTTTACACTGGGAAATATTTCCAATTGTTTTCCCACCTTTAGGGCAGACAGAAGTTAGCTCGGTTCAACGCCCATGAGTTTGCCACACTGGTCATTGACATTCTCAGTGATGCCAAGAGGAGACAGCAGGGCAGTTCTCTCTCGGGTTCAAAAGGTAACTGCTCAAACCTCCAAACATTTGTATTTTTGGCCCTCTAAATTTGACTCAAGTGTTAAAGTTATAAGCTAATTAAAGCAGTCATCAGCATGACAGCTTAAAGTTCTATAGGTTTTTGGGTTTTTGTTTGTTTTTTTACTTTAAGTTCTGGGATACATGTGCAGAATGTGCAGGCTTGTTACGTAGGTATACGTGTGCCATGGTGGTTTGCTGCACCTATTGACCTGTCCTCTAGGTTCCCTCCCCTCAGCCCCTACTCGTATAAGTTTTATTGGTAGTATATTGTGATAGTTTACCTGTCTGAGCCCTGGTGAATTAACAATATTTCAGAGTTATTAACTGCTACACATATTTATCTTATATATGATTTCTGTTTTGTTTTGGGACACTTACCTTCCCTGTAAAATTGCATCCTGAAATTAACCCAAAACTCTGACTTAGATCTTATTAAAGGACATGTGAAAATAAACTCTTCTTGGCCGGGCATGGTGACTCACGCCTGTAATCCCAGCACTTTGGGAGGCCAAGGCGGGTGGATCACCTGACGTCAGGAGTTCGAGACCAGCCAACATGGTAAAACCCCATCTCTACTAAAAATACAAAAATTAGCCAGGCATGGTGGCAGGCACCTGTAATCGCAGCTACTCGGGAGGCTGAGGTAGGAGAATCACTTGAACCTGAGAGGCGGAGGTTGCAGTGAGCCGAGATTGCACCATTGCACTCCAGTCTGAGTGACAGAGCACGACTCTGTCTCAAAAAAAAAACAAAAACAAAAAAACTCTTCTTGATTGAAACTGCATAATATCTGCTGTTGCTTACCTACGAAACTGAGTCCGACATAATTAAAATTTGTTGCCAAAAACTTTAAATGTCTTCAGTGAGAATTACTGTGATATACAATTATAAGGAGAGCTGTGAGCATCTGTTTCACAGGTGCCCTGTTGAGTCTAGTTCAGTAGGCCAGGTCCTGTCTGCATGCTTCGGAATGTCCTTCCTCTCCAGCCCTATTACTGTATCCATATTGTTTTTTTCTAATTATAGAAATTAGACATTTTTCATTGTAAGTCATTTAAGCAAAAGAAATATGTACCATAAAAATTAAGTTTTCAGTCAGTATCACATTCCCCAAAGACAGTAATCATTAACTGACAACAACTCATTCATTCTTCTTGCCTGTTCAGGAATTTGGTTTTATCTGTTCAACCGGGAATAAGGAAGTTCTGAAAAGGTTTATTAAATTTTGGTGAAGGCACAGTGACGAGTCTTTGGATAAGTTTAAAGTCTTAAAATGGCCTGGGTGTGGTGCCTCACGCCTGTAATCCCAGCACTTTGGGAGGCTGAGGCAGGCAGCTCATTTGAGGTCAGGAGTTCGAGATCAACCTGGGCAACATGGTGAAACCCATCTCTACTGAAAATAAAAAAAATTTAGCTGGGCGTGGTGGCATGCACCTGTAATCCCAGCTACTCAGGAGGCTGAGGCAGAATTGCATGAACCTGGGAGACAGAGGTTGCAGTGAGCCGAGATGACACCACTGTCCTCTAACCTGAGCAACAGAGTAAGACTCTGTCTCAAAAAAAAAAAAAAAAAAAAAAAATTGGGTACCAGGCGCGGTGACTTACGCCTGTAATCCCAGCACTTTGGGAGACTGAGGTGGGCAGATCACGAGGTCAGGAGATCGAGACCATCCTGGCTAACACGGTAAAACCCCGTCTCTACTAAAACTACAAAAAATAACCCAGGCGTGGTGGTGGGCACCTGTAGTCCCAGCTACTCAGGAGGCTGAGGCAGAAGAATGGCATAAACCCAGGAGGCAGAGCTTGCAGTGAGCTGAGATTGCGCCACTGCACTCCAGCCTGAGCAATAGAGCGAGACTCTGTCTCAAAAAAAAAAAAAAAAAAAAAATTTTAATTTAAAAAATAAAGTCTTAAAAGAATACCAGCTCTTTGATTTGATAATTCCATTCTTAGGTGTTAACTGAAGGGAAATTATCAGAGATGTTATATGTATGTTATGTAGAAAAACACAAACATTAGAAGCAACTGAGTAATAAAGAGGAACAATTAGTCACATTTTAAAATAGTACATACTTACCTTTTTAAAAAAAGAATATGTGGCCGGGCGCGGTGGCTCAAGCCTGTAATCCCAGCACTTTGGGAGGCCGAGACGGGTGGATCACGAGGTCAGGAGATCGAGACCATCCTGGCTAACACGGTGAAACCCCATCTCTACTAAAAAATACAAAAAACTAGCCGGGCGAGGTGGCGGGCGCCTGTAGTCCCAGTTACTTGGGAGACTGAGGCGGGAGAATGGCGTGAACCCGGGAGGCGGAGCTTGCTGTGAGCTGGGATCCGGCCACTGCACTCCAGCCTGGGCGACAGAGCGAGACTCCGTCTCAAAAAAAAAAAAAAGAATATGTAATTGTCTTAGTCCTTTTTGTGTAGCTATAGAAGAATACCCGAGACTGGGTAATTTGTAAAGAAAAAAGGTGTATTTGGCTCATGAGTCTGCTGACTGTAGGACTGGGCATCTGGTGAGAGCCTCAGGCTGCTTCCACTCGTGGAAGGTGAAGGGGTGCTGCATGTGCAGAGATCACACGGTGAGAGAGGAAGCAAGAGAGCAAGGAGGGAGGTGCCAGGCTGTTTTCAATGACCGGCTCCTAGCAGGAACTAACAGAGCAAGAACGCACTACAAAGGGAGGGCATTAATCTGTTCATGAAGGATCCACCCCCATGACCCAAACACCTCCCTTTAGTCTTCTTCCCCTCCAACACTGAGGATCACATTTCAACATGAGATTTGGAGGGAACAAACATTTATACTATAGTAGTAATTATATTAGATAAAGTAATAAAGTTTGATTTTTTTTTTTTTTTGAGACAAGTCTCACTCTGTCACCTAGGCTGGAGTGCAGTGGCATGATCTTGGCTCACTGCAACCTCTGCCACGCAGGCTCAAGTGATTCTTGTGCCTCAGCCTCTTGAGTAGCAGGGATTACAGGTGTGCACCACCACACCCAGCTAATTTTTGTATTTTTTGGTAGAGATGGGGTTTCTCCATGTTGGCCAGGCTGGTCTCAATCTCCTGTCCTCGTGATCCGCCTGCCTTGGCCTCCCAAAGTACTGGGATTACAGGCATGAGCCACCTCGCCTGACTAAATCTTAGTTTTTCAAAGGAACAGTAATGAGACTGAAAAACAACTATGGTTAGGCCCCAGCTGAAACCTGGGATGGGCCCACATCGCTACAGACACACGTCAGTGTACATTTGCTGGTTGTGAATGCTTCCCAAGATCGCTGAGATAGTCACAGAAACAAGATTGCATATCACTGCTGCTATTGAATAAACCTCTGAACGGTTGCTGGTTATGCTAGTTTATTTTTTTATTTCTTTTTTTCTTTTTTGTTATGAAGTGGTTTAAAGCCCAGGTCCTTATCCTGTACCTCCAGGGCTCAACTTGAGTAATCAGTTGTAGTTCCCGTTTCTCATCTGAGCACCTTGAAAATTTCAGATGTGAAATTTAGTCTTAAAAACAACAGTTTTTTTTTTGTTTTTTTTTTGGTTTTTTTTTTGTTTTTGAGACGGAGTCTCCCTCTATTGCCCATGCTGGAATGCAGTGGCATAGTCTTGGCTCACTGCAACCTCTGCCTCCTGGATTCAAGCGATTCTCCTGCCTCGGTCTCTAGAGTAACTGGGACTGCAGGTGCACGCGACCATGCCCAGCTAATTTTTTTGTATTTTTAGTAGAGACAGGGTTTCACCATATTGGCCAGGCTGGTCTCGAACTCCTGACCTCGTGATCCGCCTGCCTTAGCCTCCCAAAGTGCTGGGATTACAGGCATGAGCCACCATGCCTAGCCAGCTAATGACGTTTTTAAAAGGTTTTGTATAACCCCAATTTTGTAAGGAAAACATATTTATGTAAATATATGTGTACAAGTGAGTATACCACAGGTAAGTATAAATACACAATTGATCATCATGTGCACATCCCATATTTAGAAATTCATCTACTTGCTAAAATTTATTTGTGACCTCAAAATTAATACAGCATTTTCAAGGTCATTCTAAGAAATATACAGAGCAGAGAAAAAAATTGAGTCATCAAAAGCACATGTTTCCAGCTGAGATTGAACAGGGAGGAGACTCCTTGACTTCTTGTTTCTGCATTCATGCTATAAACAAGTGTCTGTGGTCTATTTAGTGCCACACAAATAGTTAGTCATATTTGTGTGCTTTTCACTGGTCATTTCACTGTTTTAAAATGCCCCACCCCCACCCAGGATCGATTGAGTGCCCAGGAGGTTGAGGCTGCAGTGAGCCATGATCACATCTGCACTCTAGCATGGGTGATCCTATCTCAAAAGTGTCTCGACCAGACGCAGTGACTCACGCCTGTAATCCTAGAATGTTGGGAGGCTGAGGTGGGCCGATCACGAGGTCAGGAGTTCAAGACTAGCCTGACCAACATGGTGAAACTCTTTCTCTATTAAAAATACAAGAAAAATTAGCCAGGCATGGTGATGTCTGCCTGTAATCCCAGCTACTCAGAAGGCTGAGGCAGGAGAATCGCTTGAACCCAGGAGGCGGAGGTTGCAGTGAGCTGAGATCGCACCACTGCACCCCAGCCTGGACGACAGAGTGAGACTCCATCTCAAAAAAAAAAAAAAAAAAAAAAAGTATCTCCAAGCCTGAACAACATAGCAAGGCCCCATCTTTACCAAAAAATTTAAAAATTACCTAGGTGTGTTAGCATGTGTCTGTAGTCCTACATACTCAAGAGGCTGAGGCAGGAGGATCACTTGAGCTCAAGAGTTAGAAGCTATAGTGAGCTATGATTATGCCAGTGCACTCCAGCCTGGGTGACATAGCAAGACCCTGTCTCAATAAAAAAAGAAAAAAAGTGGCCTCCAAGCATAGTCCTAAAGCTCTGTCTAGTGTGTCTAAGTGCAAGAAGGCTGTGATGTGCCCGATGGAGAAATGTGTGTTAAATAAGCATCATTCAGGCATGATTTATAGTGCTGTTGGCCATGAGTTCAATGTTAATGAATCAATAAAATGTATTAAATAAGGTATCTTTAAACAGAAACACATATAGAACAAGGTTATGTATTGATTGGTTGATAACCCCAAGAGCACTGATTTAATATTGGCCAATTCACAGCAACTTTTTAGAACATAACTACGAAGAGGCTGTGCACAGTGGCTCACGCCTGTAATCCCAGCACTTTGGGAGGCCGAGGCGGGCGGATCACGAGGTCGGGAGATCGAGACCTTCCTGGCTAACATGGTGAAATCCCATCTCTACTAAAGAAATACAAAAAAATTAGCCCGGCATGGTAGCGGGCACTTGTAGTCCCAGCTACTCGGGAGGCTGAGGCAGGAAAATGGCGTGAACCTGGGAGGCAGAGTTTGCAGTGAGCTGAGATCGCGCCACTGCACTCTAGCCTAGGTGACAGAGTGAGACTCTGTCTCAAAATAAATAAATAAAATAACTACCAAGAATAACAAAAATTGACTGTGTGTGGATATAAGTGCTCAGAAAAAAACCTAGAAAAAAATAGATCAACAAATAACAATGGCTATAAGTGATTACTTTATCTTACTTGCTCATTAGTTTCTAAATTGTATGTATTGACTGTTACTTCTGTAATCATTATATTTATGTGTTTTAAAACATTTAAAAAGTTAAAATAGGACCTATCCTTTTATTTTACTTATTATTTTTCGAGACAGACTCTCGCTCTGTCATCCGTGCTGGAGTGCAGTGGTGCAATCTCGGCTCACTGCAACCTCCACCTTCTGGGTTCAAGCGATTCTCCTGCCTCAGCCTCCCAAGTAGCTGGGATTACAGATGCCCACCACCATGCCCAGCTAATTTTTGTATTTTTAGTAGGGATGGGGTTTCACCATGTTGGCCAGGCTGGTCTCAAACTCCTGACCTCAAGTGATCCATCTGCCTCAGCCTCCCAAAGTGCTGGGATTACAGATGTGAGCCCCTGTGCCCGGCTGGGACCTAGTCCTTTTAAATAACCACAATTCATCACCCAGATATCATCCATCCTTTGTTTCCTCAACATCTCTGGGAAGCAGTATTAGAAGTCAGAGTTTGAGTAACCTGAAAGAAATCAGAGAGACTTTAGTTTGTGAAATCTTTTGTTCAAAGTGTATTAGATCCAATAGAATAATCCCTGCTCCCTTATGGAATAGACACTCCTTGTAACATGCACATGTGTATTTGATTCATTCTCCTCTATCTGTTTGTCTCACTGAGATGCAGGTAATTGACTAAATGCCAATTTTTTTTGTTTTTGTTTTTGTTTTTTGAGATGGAGTCTTGCTTTGTCACCCAGGCTGGAGTGCAGTGGTGTGATCTTGGTTCACTGCAAGTGGGTTCACACCATTCTCCTGCCTCAGCCTCCCAAGTAGCTGGGACTACAGGCGCCCGCCACCACACCTGGCTAATTTTTTGTATTTTTAGTAGAGACGGGGTTTCACCGTGTTAGCCAGGATCGTTTCGACCTCGTGACCTCGTGATCCACCCGCCTCGGCTTCCCAAAGTGCTGGGATTACAGGTGTGAGCCACCACGTCCAGCACAATGTTTCTATTCTTTGAGTGCCTAGGTTCTGGCTCCAGTTTAACAAGTTGCTTTCTGTTTTGATTGATATTACCTTGTAAACATGTTATAGGTATTAATCAAATTATAGTTTATCTTCCATTACCTACAGCCTTATCTTCATGACCTGGAGCTAGGCTCTATCTCTAGAAACTTGGGATCTTGCCTTTTTATCTGAGCAGTTCCTTCCTAAGCCATCTGTTTAATTTGCCCATATTTGGCAGGTAGATGAGGAATGCTGAAGTCTCTTATGTAACTGTCCACCTGGTTGAAAACTTTTTCTGTTATCTCTATATTGGTGTGAATATAACATTGCCATTTCTGTCATTTTCTTTCAGTCCTTGTGTATTTTGTTTTTGTCTTTGTTTTTGCTTTTAGAGATAGGGCCTCACTCTGATGCCCAGGCTAGAGTACAGTGGTGCAGTCATGGTTCACTGCAGCCTCAATCTCCTCGGCTCAAGCAGTCCTCCTGTCTTAACCTCCTGAGTAGCTATGTAGCTGGGACTACAGGCATGTACCACCAGGCCTGGATAATTTTTAAATTATTTTGTAGGGATAGAGTCTCATTATGTTGCCTAAGTAGGTCTCAAACTCCTGGCCTCAAGCATTTCTCCTCCTTGGCCTCCTAAAATGCTGGGATTACAGGCAAGAGCACAGCATTCAGCCCTTTATGTCCTTTAAATGGCTAAACCAAAAAATCCTCTCCATAGCTTTTGGAAGAAAAGCAGTGTTTTAAGCCTGAATTAAAGTTGTTTGCTTTTATTGATAGACAATGTGGAGCTCATACTGAAAACAATCAATAACCAGCACAGCATTGAGAGTCAAGACAACGACCAGCCCGACTATGACAGCGTGGCATCAGACGAAGACACAGATTTGGAAACCACTGCAAGCAAAGCAAACCGGCAGAAGGTGAGAGGCCGTGCGTCCTGTGGAAGGGCAAGCATGCATCAGCTGAGGGCTAGCCCTGCCAAAGCTGCTGTGCAGTGAGGTTGGGTTTGTTACTAGCTCAGGCCAAGCAAAGGTGAAACAAGGTTAAATGGTTTTAAAATAGGGGTCCTTGTCCCTGCATCACAGCCCTGCTGCAGTTGAGACTTTATAAAACTTGTGAGGAGTGACTGGTGTGTTTTTTTCATTCAACAAGTATTTACTGAGTGACTTCTCTGGATATGACTCTCCTGAATGAGGTCTCATCCCTTTCCTATGAGGGTCTCATTGCCTAGGAGAGAGAGAACTGCAGGAGAAGGCACAAAGTGATGTGTGTCATATGAAGCACACACAGGCTGAGGGAGTGAACAGAGAGAGAACCTATGGCTGGGAGCATCAGCAGGGCTGTGTCATAGGACGGCTCTTAAGATGCGCCTCAAGGGACGCTTGGGATTGGGGCATATGGAGGAGGCAGAAAGAAAGTGAAACCAGGGCATCTAAGGGGAAGCTGGTCATGCACAGGGACAGCCTAAAAAGGGTGGGACTCGAAGCTGCAGCAAGAGGGGTATGATGCCCAGCGGAAGAGCGTGGGCCTCACAGGCAGTGCGGAGCCCAGGATGCCATGTCTGGGGAGGACTATTCTGGTAGGTTAGAGAGTGGAGGGAGAGCTCCAAACTGGAGCTGACGCAGGCCACCCCAGGACCCATGCTAAGATGGTGCAGGTGGGAGAGACCTCGGGACCAGAGTGTGAGCTGGTGGAGAAGGCGGCAGGACCCCAGGCTGTGCACCCTCTGCTGACCCCCAGGACACACCCACAGAGGGGCTTGGCAAGCATTTGAGAATAGATGAATAGGAAGGTAGAATAGAAAAGTCTTGGCAATAAGTTGGAAGGTTGAAGTGGGGAGATAGACTTATGGGAGATGTGTTCGGAGTTCCCCGGCCCACATGACTACGAGAAAGATGGCGCCATTAGCAGATGCAGGGGACACCCCTGTGCAGACTTCCGGGAAGCCACCTGGTTCACTCAGTCAGAGCTGAGGTCGTTTCAGGACCCTCTGTGACCAGGCCCTCTATCAACTGCCTGGCCTCCTGCCCAATCCATCCCACACACCTGCTCCCTGCAGGCTGAGCTCCACTGCAGGCTGGAATGTTCTTCCTCCAGATTCATGTGACTTATTCCCTCACCTCCCGGGGCTCTGCTCACCTCTCACCCACTCACAGGCTTAACCCAGCTACCCGCTTAACATGCAGTCCCCTACCCTGCTCTGTCTTATCTTTTCCCACAGCACTCATCACCCTCAGTCATACAATATATATACTCTCTCATGCTGTTGGGATATAAACACCATGGAAGCAGGAATCTTTGTCTCTTTTCTAATATATCCCAAGCACCTAGAACACTGCCTAATGTTCAATGAAAATGTTGGAATGAAGGAATTAATGAAAGAATGAATAAAAGCAAAACATGAGTGAACGAGAGAAAGGCTTACAAGACAGGACAGACCTCCTTAGACAGTCATTGTCAGCATAGATGTGTAGCCCCACTGCCTGTTCTATTGGAAAATACTGACTTTCAAATTTTTTAAATAGGATAGTGACCCTACTTTTTTATGTTTTAGTTTTACATTACTCTCAGAGGCCTTAATTTGGTTTGACTAACTTTGCAATTCAGCTGGCTTGGTCAGAATTTGAAATTCTTGAGCTGTTAGTCTTTAATGTTCTCATCATCTCAGATTGTGAACGTTTTCCCCAATTTATTTTTAGAGCCTAGATTCAGATTTATCAGATGGACCAGTCACTGTACAGGAATTTATGGAGGTCAAAAACGCTCTAGTGGCTTCTGAGGCCAAGATACAGCAGCTAATGAAGGTGAATAACAACTTGAGTGACGAGCTGAGAATTATGCAGAAAAAGGTAACATGTTAATAAATGCCAGGACGGTTGATGCTTTAATCCCATAGTACAAGGAAGAATCTCAGGCACTGTGATGTGGTCCGAGGGAAGAAAAACAGTTATTGTAACAGCCTTAGAAATCTTTGGGCCAAGTTGTCTTTTTGAAGCAGGATGTACTTGGATATTTAAAATGAAATATATCCAGAGTAAGTTCCCCAGGGAGGAGAAACCTAACATCCTATTTAAGCATTTGTGCCCTTTAGAATAACCCTTGCACTATTCTGTGCTTCCTGGAAACCTGGATGGCGCTTCATGGATGTGATTCTTCCCATTGCTAGGGAGGGATGATCATACCATGGAGACAGAGCCAGTGAGAGCCCCGGGCAGGGGCATGTTTATCAGCATTCAAACCCTGCTCCCACCCTGGCAGCCCTATCCCACATCCCCACCTTATTGCTTACCAGTGTTTACTACTAACTTGTATTATCCCCAGAGCCTACGGGAGGGCCTGCCACAAAGTAGGTTCTCAAAAAATAAGAAAAAACCATTTCATTTGTACTAGCAAGAGCTGCACACTGGTAAGAAGCAATCTCATTTGCTCAGCGTTTTCTCATTCATTACCTTTTGAGAGAATCAGAACCATCTGAATATATTAATCCCGGAAAGGAGTGTGGTTGATGGTAGCAAGGAATACCCTTAGTAGGAGGGGGATTGTGTATGCAACTCTTTGTGAGAAGGCTAAGTAAGGGCATTTGAAAAATTCCAAATTTTGCCCATGACTTTGTGGGTATCACTCCCATCATTCAGTTCTAAAATGAGATTTGGACACTTAACCAGAAACAAAATGAAATATATGATCTATATATTTAGGCAGTCATTTGAGAAGTAAGGTTTTCAAATCATTTTCAAGACCTGAGGACATGGTACACTCCATGTGTACCTGGACTCTTTTCAGTGCTGCTTCCTAAAGGAAGGTCAAAGAACTAAAAAGGGGCCCATGCCCCTCTACTTACTAGGGAAGGAAATTGCTGTGCACTTTTGCCTGGGATTTGGTCTAGGATCCTTTTGATGTTGAGTTCTAGAGCATTTTTGAGACTTTTTGAAATACATGGCTCTAATGCCTGTAGTAGCAGGGAATGAAGAATGCTCAAGATGAGCCAGCCTTAAACAAACAGACACTTGTTCTGTGTCTCCCAGTCCTGTCTAGGGCTGCCGTGCAGCTGTAAACGAGACAGACCAAGAGCCCCTTTGTTATTACATACAGGACCTGTACTTTCTCTGCCTTCTTTGGAATATATTTTATTTAATGGATTATACTTTGTCCCATTAATTGGACTAATAATTTTGACCAGGTGACTATTTCTGAAACATGCTGATTTTGCCACTGTAAATCAATCTGTTGCACATCACCTTTTAAAATCTAATAATGCTTCTTTTAGTATTTTTGGAAATCAGAGAGAGCCTCATTATCTCTGAAAGCAAATGTCTTGAGCTTCTTTGAGAAATGCAAAGTGAAATTATCTGCTGTTGCTTATTGATTATCTCATCAATTCTTAGAAATGCTTTTGATTGGGGCCGAGCGCGGTGGCTCAAGCCTGTAATCCCAGCACTTTGGGAAGCCGAGACGGGTGAATCACGAGGTCAGGAGATCGAGACCATCCTGGCTAACACGGTGAAACCCCGTCTCTACTAAAAAATACAAAAAAAAAAATAACTAGCCGGGTGAGGTGGCAGGCGCCTGCAGTCCCAGCTACTTGGGAGGCTGAGGCAGGAGAATGGCGTGAACCCGGGAGGCGGAGCTTGCAGTGAGCTGAGATCTGGCCACTGCACTCCAGCCTGGGCGACAGAGCCAGACTCCGTCTCAAAAAAAAAAAAAGAAATGCTTCTGATTTCTGAAACTATTGAATTGTCTATAACTTTTTATTTTCCTTATACTCCTTCCAAATAAAAAAGTGTAGCCTGGTTCTTATTAAGATAAACATCGTTAAAATTTATGTGAGGACATCTCTCTAAATACAGAGTACTAAAATTTTTTAAAAATTGAAACCAAGAACTTGTGCTCATGAGAACACATTCAGGCAAAATCCAAGCATGAAAAGTGTTAGGGTAAAGTTTCAGATGTGAAGGCTTTAACTAAAATACTGCCACAGAGGCTTTTTACACAGACAAACACGTGATTAGATGCACCAGTGCCCCATTGAGGGACATGTGTCAGTTACACGCCTCAGTCCTTGAACCTTGACCATTTCACTCTAGGCCCTGGGTTCTCTAATGAGTAGTTTCAACAGGCACTTCATGCCTGTCTGTATCCTGGAATGTAGAAATGTTCAGGGCTGCTTTGTCACTTTGCAGCTGTTCTTTCCCTGGAAAGGGAATTGCAGATATTAGCTATACCCTGCCAGCCTTTGTGGGATAAAAGCAGTCTATCATTCTGTAATGGCTTGCTCTTCAAGGAAACAGAATGAGTGGTCTTTTTGGGGAAGAGGCAGTAAGTCACACTTTCGCAGCAGTTTGGCATGATTAATATAAAGTATATAGAATTTGTTTATTTAGCAAAGATGTATTGATTTTATTTCAAAGTTAGGTAAAGTTTTTAATATACATAAAGTTGACAAAGTAGCATGATTTGTATCTGATCTTTCACATTTAACAGTTGCTTGGAAAAGATGCTAATTAATGAAGAGGAGCAACTACTATTGGTGTATTTTTCACAGATTGGTGCTTTCTAAATAAAAATTTAAAGCAACTCCTAACATTGAATGGGTTTGCTACTGAAAAAGTAATGATCTTCTGGTGCAAACAGTTGCTCGTGGACTTAAACTTTGGCACTGGTGGGGAATTTGGTCAGATTTTACAATCTCTGTCAAAGAGTAGACAGCTGAACTCACACCACACCCAGCTTATAAAATGTCCATGGAAGATGAAGGCGCGCCAGAAGGGAAGGACCCTGCGCAGAATGGACGTGGTGAATGGTGTTTAAAATGCCAGATGCCAAAGAGTAACACGATTCCCTGCTGACCCCTTAACTCTAATCCATCCAGCACCATGGAGCAGCCTGCATGTGAGGAATGGAAGGAGCATTCAGGGCCTCCAAGTGACAGTCTCTAAAATGGGGTGGTGCCAGGCAGATTAGCATGTTCAAAGCTGACACCACTGAGGTCTTGTTTTTTGGGTGACAAAGCCAAAGGAGAGAAAGGCCAAATATTCCAGTCCTGGCTGAAAGATGATCACTCACCAGACGGAAGCAAGCGTGCTGCGTGGAGCATCCATGCGAAGATGTCGATTCCATAGATAATAGGTTTCCAGTTTTCTTTGTGATATGTTAATATAGCAAACTTACCATGATCCAGTTTTCTCTTTTTTTTTTTTTTTTTACAAAGTGCTGAATTGTTTGGAATATCAAGAGTATTATGTAATAAAAACTTGTTGATCATAATTTTTCTTGTTGGCTTTTTGGAAAGCAATAGCTGATCTGATTTTTCATAAGCTGAACTTCTGTCTTTCTTGCTTTGCAAAGCAACCCTCATCATCTTTGTGCTGCTTCCATGGTGTCTGCTGTCATTTTTGGCCTTTGCAAATTGCTCGGGGCTCATTTGAAAAGCAAGTTACCTAAATGATGTTTTAATGATCTCAAGCTCTTGCTTGAAACAACCTTAGAATAATCCAGTATACAGCTTGCCTGCAAACATTTCCCAGCCCACCATGACAAATTTTTAAGCGGTTAGACATTTTGTTTTGAGGAAGTCCAAACCACAACTTTTCCGCATTCAGAAATGAAGCTATTTAATTTGCTTACATGATGAAGGCAGTTGATTGTGTTTCACCCCATCCAGAAGAAAGGGTCTTTGTTTGTATTGGCTTTTTACTTTCAGCCCCGCTAGCTGTTATTGCCCTTATTGTTTAAAGCTGGTAGTTGTATTCATTTACTTGGTGTTTGCTTTTTCTGCTTGCTATAAAAAAACACAGTCCCACTGCCAAACATTTCTTTCAGCTTCAAACACTCCAGAGTGAAAATTCGAACCTCAGGAAACAGGCCACAACCAATGTATATCAGGTGCAAACTGGTTCTGAGTACACAGACACTTCCAACCACTCTTCCTTAAAGAGACGTCCGTCTGCCCGGGGCAGTAGGCCCATGTCCATGTACGAGACCGGATCAGGTCAGAAACCGTATCTCCCAATGGGAGAAGCGAGCCGCCCTGAAGAGAGCAGGACGAGACTCCAGCCCTTCCCCGCACACGTAAGTAACACCACTGGCGCTTCCGCTATTCACTCTGTGCAGCCTGACTACTCTGTTCCCTCTTCTGAACCTGCAGGTCCCCACACCTCTGCTTTGCCAAATTGGGCTAAGAGAGTTACCATTGTGTTTGCTGTATTAACATGTCCACGGATGCTTGCGATGTTCCCACAAGCACACAGGGCCATGGGCTGATGATTTCCTAACCAAGTTGGGGATTCTGGCTCTTGCCCGAACTGCTACTTTTTTTCTCCCCCACATCCGTGGTTATTTCTCAACCAGCCAGTGTTGGAACTTTTTTTGGTAAAGCTTCCTTCCTTCCCCACTTCCAAAAACAAAAGCAGATCATAAAGGTCACTCTCAGAAGGAAGTGTCGCCTTCTTGGAGCTAGACAGGGATGTGCCCCTTTAAGGACTGGAGCCCTTAGAATCCAAGATGGCTTTTCAGCTCCTCCTCAAGCAGGTGGCCTTGAGTCTGTGGCCCAGGTACCCAGGCAAGTCTGGAAGGCTCCAGGCCTCCGCAGCCTCTCCATGTGTGCTCAGTGTGCCTGCTAGGTTCGCTTCTGCATCCTGCTCCTCCCCCGTGGTGGGGGAAGTGTGGCTTTGTCATCTCAGAAAAGGAAATGTAATATTCTTCATCAGTCTTAGAAGCGCTGAATTCCAGAGATTGTGTTCTGCAGCACGTTTCTTACAATCTTATTTTGCATTGGGATACATACTGTGTTGTGAGATTTTCAAATATATTTATCCTGGATTACTTTATTATAAAAATATGTGTTTTGCCAAGATGTTACAGACATTTAAACTTTTTCACATATGCTTTTTCGGAGAGTAGTATTTGTCTTTTTGAGTGTCAAAGTTTATTATTTCTTCAGTCAAATTTTATGGGAGTTTCCAAAAAAATTCTCAAGGTAGATGCATAGCAAGGACATGGTTTTGTAAATTAAACCCTAGTTTAATTTTGTCAATTTTCAGTGTGTTAAAATTACAATATTGTTTTACTATAATTGGGAGTCTATCATCTCAAATTCTTTTTAAGATATTTGGGTTTAACATTCTAAGGCAGTTGATTTGATAAATTTGATGTAATGGGAATGCCATTGAACTAAGTTAAGAATCTTTTTTTTTTTTTTTTTGAGACGGAGTCTCGCTCTGTCACCCAGGCTGGAGTGCAGTGGTGTAATCTCAGCTCACTGCAACCTTTGCCTCCTGGGTTCAAGCAGTTCTCCTGCCTCAGCCTCCTGAGTAGCTGGGACTACAGGCACATGCTCCCGCGCCTGGCTAATTTTTTTGCGTTTTAGTAGTAATGGGGCTTCATCATGTTGCCCAGGCTGGTCTCAAACTCCTGAGCTCAGGCAATCCGCCCACCTCAGCCTCCCAAAGTGCTAGGATTACAGGTGTGAGCTACCACGCCCACCCTAAGTTAAGAATCTTATTTTTGTATAGCTGAAGACAAAATTTAGGAAAATCAGCCTTTGTTATTTTTCAGTGTACTTTCTTATTTTAGAAAAAAATTAGAATATAAAGATATCATATCAAGAAGGACTATAACTGTACTAAAAATTAGATTGATAGTGTATAGCAACTTAGAATCATTTGTATAGTTTCTCATCTCACATCAGTCCTGACTGAAAAACAAATACGCATTTCATAGTATCCATTAACAAATTATTTACAAGTTTGACAAATTATGTTAGGTATTTCCCTTATGGAAAAGCAGCCTTATTAAATTCAGAGTAATTTCCAGGAGGTGTTTCACCAAGGGTTTAAACATCTCTGGGGTCCTGTCGCTGGTGGCCACTGAGATTGCACCCCTCACGTCACATAGTATGTGGTGTTCCAGGATTCTTTTACTGAAGCTGGCGAGGTGGTAGGTTTTTGGTCTGTTTTGTATTTTCCCGAGTGTGTTTCTCTTTCCCATTCCAGATCGGGAGGAGTGCGTTTGTGACCTCCTCTTCATCTCTGCCTTCCTTCCCCTCCACACTTTCCTGGTCGAGGGACGAAAGCGCCCGAAGGGTTAAGTACATTCTGAATGGTCTGCTCTCTGGAGGAGGGGCCGTGCTCCTGGGCTCTTTGTGCTTGGGCTCTGGCCCTCCTGTCCCTCGCTAACTGCCCTTCCGTCCTGCATGAGGCAGCGCTTCCTCCTGGTTTCTCACAGTGCATCAGGTGCACACTCGCGCACATGCACGCTCACCCATCGAGGGCGCCTACCTTTCTCTAACCCCACACTGCTCATATTCACGTCATATTTAACAAAGTTTGCAAATCACCCTACAGCATTTATTCTGAGCATACTGTCTTTTTAAACAACCAGAAAACTAGCTGGCTGCTGGTTAGATATTATAATAGGCCAAATCTGTTCAATTTGTTCAGGGCTACAGTTGTCATATTGAAACTGCTGTATGTGGACTCGCTGAAGTACTAAAATGTCATGCCTTTTTTTTTTTTAAACCTGTGACACATTTTATGTCAGCACTACACTTGACAAACCAAGGTTTACAAGTCCCTGCATCTTGAATCAGAATTGTAACACCTTGTGGCATTGGATCTGTGCAAGCAGCTGTTAGCCTAAAGCTGTTCAGTTGTACAGGTTGGTTAAACCCCACCTACTGGTGTATAATTTATGGTCTCAATAGCAGTGCATGATTCAGTTAAGCCCCTTTTAGAGTAGTCAGGCAGTAAGTATTAAGCAACTCCTCCATACACAGCGTTTTGGTAAGTCAATGAAAGGGTACTAAGGACTTAGGTGGCCCAGCCCCTGCTCCCGAAGGCACTGTCGATTAAAAAATACTTTCATGCACAAAGAGTGGTACATGACTGCAACCTGGGAAAGCCGTGGAAAGAGCACAAGCTTTGAAAATCCATGTCCTAGTTCTGGCTCCATCTCTTTTTGAATGGAAGGGTAATGTAAGGTAAGAGGAGGAAGGTGGCTGTGGGTAAGGAACCACCTTTACAGGCAAGGTGGGGTTTGCACTGGGCCTTTGCCATTCCCTCCACACCTAGGAATGATGGAGAGCCTTTCTTTCCTAGTTCCAGTGGCATATGGATTATCAAGGCCCTTTCAGGATTGGTTTTTTTTTTTAAGAGACAGAGCCTCATTATGTTGCCCAGTCTGTAGTACAGTAGCTATTTACAGGCGTGGTCATAGCATACTGCAGCCTCAAACTCCTGGGCTCAAGCAGTCCTCCCACTTCAGGCTTCTGAGTAGCTGGGCCTACAGGCATGCGCCACCATGCCCTGACCCTTTTGGAATTCTTTACTTCACTTTCACAGTAGTCTATTAAGAATTCTCGCTGAGTGCAGTGACTCGCACACTTTGGGAGGCCTAGGCGGGTGGATTGCTTGAGCCCAGGAGTTCAAGACCAGCCTCAGCAACATGGTGAAATTCTATCTCTACAAAAAATATAAAAAATTATCCAGGTGTGTTGATGCACACCTGTAGTCTCAGGTACTTGGGAGGCTGAGATGGGAGGATCGCTTGAGCCCACCATGAGAGATCGAGGCTGCAGTGAGCCATGATTTTGCAATTGCATTCCAGCCTGGACAACACAGTGAGACCCTGTCTCAAAAAAAAAAAAAAAGCAATTATTGTACTAAAAAAAAAAAAAAAGAATTCTTGATAAATTGGATTTAAAGTCTCAGCTGGGTGCAGTGGCTGTAATCCCAGCACTTTGGGAGGCCAAGGTGGGTGGATCACTTGAGCCCAGGAGTTTGAGACCAGCCTGTCCAACATGGCAAAACCCGTATCTACTAAAAAATACAAAAATTAGTAGGGGGTTGGCGCATGCCTGTAATCCCAGATACTCGGAAGACTGAGGCACGAGAATCAAGAATCCCTTGAACCTGGGAAGTGGAGGTTGCAATAAGCCGAGATTGCACCACTGCACTCCAGCCTGGACGACAGAGTGAGACTGTCTCAAAAAAAAAAAGGTCTCCTGAGCAGTTCTGAAATTGAACTGTAATGTTTTCATTAAAATAGCCCAGATACAACTAAAGGACAGTTAGTGATTAAATACCTCATTAGAAATTTTGTAAGTCAAACCACTTTTGTCTACTGTGAAATTTTGTTTTTTAATTTGTATGGTAGCCTCCAAAATCATTGCAAGGACTGCTTGCTGAGATAGAGTTTTGTACAAAAATCATTTAAACTGATCACCCTGATTGTTCCTGACAGCTTCATCATGAGTTTAGATTTTTATGGCGTGTCTTTATTCAGAGAAAACTGCAAACCTATTAAATAAATTGAACCAGCACCAGCTATAAGGTAACCTTCCTATTAACAGCTTTGAGAGAGCAGCACTCTTAACCAATAGCTTTTGGCTCTGCATGTTTATAATAATTTTGATACATTAAATGCTGGCTACACTGAAATTCTGTACATATGCTTTTGTTGACAACGATGAAGGACTTAACTAACGTGTAAGTAACTGATTTCCTGGGTGGTTGCTGCTATATGTTGTTTTCCATACTTGAGAAACATTTACCGAATGCATTTATTAGGTATATGAGTCACTGCTCTTCTAAAATGTTTAAATGCAACTTGGTACTTCTGATCATTGAGGGTAATGCATTTGATTTGCGATTATCACATTTCATCGGGGAAGGCAAAAAGATTCATTATAAAGGCCAGGCGTGGTGGCTCATGCCTGTAATCCTAGCACTTTGGGAGGCCGAGGCAGGTAGATTCCCTGAGCTCAGTAGTTCAAGACCATCCTGGGCAACACATTGAAACCCCGTCTCTACTAAAATACAAAAAATTAGCCAGGCATGGCGGTGGGCGCCTATACTCCCAACTACTTGGGAGGCTGAGGCAGGAGAATCGCTTGAACCTGGGAGGCAGAAGTTACAGTGAGCCAGGATCGTGCCACTGTACTCTAACCTGGGCAACAGAACGAGACTCTGTCTCCAGATAAATAAATAAAAAAGATTCATTATAAATATGTAGAATTTTCTGGGTTTAATTCTGTTTCTAGTTTGTTTTCCACTGGAGCAGCTCTGGGCACATTTTTCAGTATAATTACGTAAATGCAAGTTTTTATCTATTGATATATGTGTATATGTATACACACACATACCTCTGTGTGGGTGTATATATAAAAACCAAAATAAAACTTAAAATTTAGTTGGGGCCAGGTGTGGTGGCTCACATCTATAATCCCAGCACTTTGGGAGGCCAAACTTGGAGGATCACTTGAGCTCAGGATTATGAGGCTAGGCTGGGCAACATAGTAAGACCTTGTCTCTACAAAAAAGTACAAAATTAGCCGAGCGTGGTGGCACATGCCCGTGGTCCCAGCTGCTCAGGAAGCTGAGGTGGGAGAATCGCTTGAGCCTGGGAGGTCAAGGCTGCAGCAAGCTGAGGTTGTACCACTGCACTTAGCCTAGGCGACAGAGTGAGACCCTGTCTCAAAAAGAAAAGAAAAGAAAAAAAAGTTGGCAGGGTGCGGTGGCTCACACCTGTAATCCCAGCACTTTTGGAGCTGAGGCAGGAAGATCACCGAGGTCAGGAGTTTGAGACCAGCCTGACCAACATGGTGAAACCCCGTCTCTAATAAAAATACAAAATTAGATGGGTGTGGTGGCGCATGCCTGTAATTCCAGCTACTCGGGGGGCTGAGGCAGGAGAATTGCTTGAACCTGGGAGGCAGAGGTTGCAGTGAGCTGAGATTACGCCATTGCACTCCAGCCTAGGCAACAAGAGTGAAACTCCACCTCAAAAAAAAGAGAAAAGAAAAAGAAAAGAAAAGTTAGGCATTCCCTGTGACAAGATAAGAAGGGTTTTGGGTTTTTTTCTTTCTTTTTGGTTTTCTAAGCTCATCTCTGGAAGACCACAGTGCTTGCCCATGATCTTCCTGCTATAGACTTCTAGGAGCCAAACTCATTGACTGTTCATAAAGCCAGATCAAAACAAGGCAGCAAGAGAAGCAGAACTACTTATTGGTAGGAGATATAAACAAAGGAATCACCAAAGTTATAGATTCTACAGAAATTAGCTTTACAAACTCCCCATATGGCTCCAAGCCAACATTTAATCATTTGCCAAATGGATTTGAGTGGCTGCAGGATGCACGAGTTCATAGTGAATTTTAGGAGCCCACAGCAAGTGTCTTGTATTTGAGTGGCTGGGAACTAAACAGACCATGTGTGGAGGTGTGGATGGAAGAACTCAGCCGACAGAGAAGAGAACATGTGCCCTGGGAGCAGAAGGAGAGTCTATGGGGATAGCAAACAAAGTGTGGTGTGAATAAGGGGGACTCCTCCACATGGGTCCAGCTGCCTTGCCTGTACCCACCAGGTGTTATCAGTAAGAAGCAACAATCAGGCTTTACGTAGTTTTGTGGGGGGTTTTTTGGTTTTTTTATTTTTTTATTTTTTTTGAGTTAGGGTCTAGCTCTGTCACCCAGACTGGAGTACAGTAGTGTGATCTCATCTCACTGCAACCTCTGCCTCCTAGGCTCAAGAGATCCTCTCACTTCAGCCTCCCAAGTAGCTGAACTGCAGGTGTGCACTACCACACTTGGCTAATTTTTGTAGTTTTAGTAGAGATGACATTTCACCATGTTGCCCAGGCTAACCTCAAACTCCTGGCCTCAAGTGATCTGCCCACCTCAGCCTCCCAACGTGCTGGGATTACAGGTGCGAGCCACCGCACCTGGCCATGTAGACCTTCTTAAACCAACTTACTCAAAAGTAGCCATTCTTTTGGATAAAGCTATAGGGTTTCCATGTGTTTAAACAAAGCTCTTAGTTTACATCTGTGTCCTTAGCCACATTTTATTGCAGCATCAATAAAACTCTCTTAGTCACATGTTTTGATTAACTTGGATGAAATTCAAGAAGTAAAGCTAGAAATAGCTCACACTTGTATTTTATAAGGTAATTGGTTTAGGTTTTAAATTAGCCTCCACTGATTTCTGTTCCAAAGAAATTCTCAAGCATTATGGGTGAAATAAATACTGAGGGAAAATAACGTTCATGAAATACTCAGAACATAGTTCCCTTCGAAGGAATAAAGTCCCCTTCGAATTTCATCACCCTAGAAGATCCTGTGTTTAGCAGTGCTGGCATTTGTTCAAAACATTTTTAGGATTCCTCTTTTGAATCTATATCCCATTTTTGATTGCCACAGTTGTACCGAATCTTTACATTTTAAGGGGTAGATTTGAGCCCAGGCATGAAATATTGGAGGTAGCAGGAGGCAGGAGACCTGGTGCTTGGTCCTGTTTTTCTGCAGACTTTGTGGCCTTTGGTGGGCCACGCAGCTTTTTTGGCCCTTCATTTTCTCATATGGGGTTCAATCAGATAATCTGAAGGTGACTTCCAATGCTGAAGGTCTGTGGTCATATAAGTGCCGGGATTTTTTTTGTTTGTTTCTGAGACAGGGTCTTACTCTGTTGCCCAGGCTGGAGTACAGTGATGCGATCATGGTTCAATACAATCTTGAACTCCTGGGCTCAAGCAATCCTCCCTCAGCCTCCTGAGGAGCTGGGACTACAGGTGTATGCTACCATGCCTGGCTGGTTTTTTTTTTGTTTTTTTTGTTTTTTTTCTTTGTTTTTTGTTTTGTTTTGTTTTGTTTTTTGTTTTGTTTTTTGAGACGGAGTCTCACTCTGTTGCCCAGGCTGGAGTGCAGTGGCCGGATCTCAGCTCACTGCAAGCTCCGCCTCCCGGGTTCACGCCATTCTCCTGCCTCAGCCTCCCGAGTAGCTGGGACTACAGGCGCCCGCCGCCTCGCCCAGCTAGTTTTTTGTATTTTTTAGTAGAGACGGGGTTTCACCGTGTTAGCCAGGATGGTCTCGATCTCCTGACCTCGTGATCCGCCCGTCTCGGCCTCCCAAAGTGCTGGGATTACAGGCTTGAGCCACCGCGCCCGGCCTGTTTTTTTTAATGTTTTTTGTTTGTTTGTTTGTTTTAATGTTGCCCAGGCTGGTCTCAAACTCCTAGCCTCGAGCAATCGTCCTGCCTCAGCCTCCCAAAATACAGGGATTACAGGCGTGAGCCACCACACCCTGCCTGTATTTTAACTACGTCTCATTATGTTATAAATTTGAGAACTAAATGAGGGTGTGTTGCCTTGCATGTCTGTTAGTTTGTACCAAGGATGTGATTATGGAGTAGCCACTGAGCTAAGAAGAAAATGGTGCAAAGAAGGAAAGAGGCCATTTCTGGATCCAATGTTCATCTTTTACTGAATTTTCACTAGAGAGTTGGCCCCTGTCCCAAATGAGATTTGAGATGTGAAGGCCAATAGCCTAATAGGTAACAGTTCCTAGGGAAGACTCCTGAGAAGGGTCTCATGTTACCAACTTATGAGGGTCCCTCTTCTTTCTTGTAGGCATCCAGGCTGGAGAAGCAGAACAGCACACCTGAGAGTGACTACGACAACACTCCCAACGACATGGAGCCAGATGGCATGGGGTACATCCACAGGATGAGCGTGCCAGGGGAGGGGCCCCCAGGGCCAGCAGAAGCAGTTCACCACACACACCCCTTTTCTCTATTTTCAGACTCATAAAGTCTTAAAATATTCAAGTATATGCTCATAGTTTGCATGTCTTGTCATCTCACATTATTGCTGAAAGGTCTTTTTCTTTGTACCAGCATGTTATGTGTCTTTAGCTGTCTGTAGTGTGTTTAAAGTCATTACCCCACTTCATCACGAAGACAACACTAGGTTACATTCTGCATTTGTACCCAAGGAATTGGCTCACCTGGGAATGGCTTTATAACCACACGCTCTCCCCGGCCCAGGTATTTCCCTCCCTTTTCCCCTCCTTCACCCTTCCCATGAGAGCAAACACTTCCAGCCCTATGGTAGAGTGAAATAGCCCATTTTAGAGCCTTACCGTGAGTCTCCTGCTAGACAGGATAAAGGAAATGACGAGACCAGCCTGCTCATGCATTTAGCTGGTGCATACAAAGTGGCTCCTAGAAGCAGAGGAGCAGCTAATAAGCACCTGCTGTATTTAACTGCATCTTTAATGTTCACAGGTCAAGCCGAAAGGGACGGCAAAGAAGTATGGTGTGGCCAGGTGATGGCTTGGTACCAGACACAGCAGAACCCCACGTGGCCCCAAGCCCCACTCTCCCTAGTACCGAAGATGTCATCAGGAAGACTGAACAGATCACCAAAAACATACAGGAGCTCTTAAGAGCAGCCCAAGAAAATAAACATGACAGGTAAGCAGGACTGAAGACCCTGCTTTGGCAGAGCATGTGTTATGCGCCCAGAAAGGGATGATGCCCACATTCCCAATGGCAGCTATTCCCAATGGCAGCTGTTCCTTGCATGCTGACTTCAAGGTCATTGAAAACCTAAGTCTACATTAACAGGCTTAAGAACAATGTCAATTTTGGTTTGGTTTGTTTTGTTTGATTTACGTGGTATTTTCTTTTTTTTCATCTTGTTATGAAGCTCCAAAAATAAGTGCTTCTAGAAATAGGATTGTGGCATAGTTAGGGTGGCGACAGTGCTAATTCTAGGTAGAGGGGGAAAGGGGCTACCTTAGGGACAAGGCTGCTGACACAAAAGGTATCCTGGGCTGGGCACACTGGCTCACGCCTGTAATCCCAGCACTTTGGGAGGCCGAAGCAGGTGGATCACCTGAGGTCAGGAATTTGAGACCAGTCTGACCAATATGGTGAAACCCTACGTCTACGAAAAACACAAAAATTAGCCAAGCGTGGGCAGCATGTGCCTGTAGTCCCATCTATTCCGGAAGCTGAGGCAGGATAATTTCTTGAACCCTGGAGGCAGAGGTTGCAGTGAACCAAGATCATGCCGCTGCACTCCAGCCTGGGCAACACGAGCGAAACTCTGTCTCAAAGTAAATAAAGTTGATCTCATCATCACCCAAATCCATCCCTGCGCATGAGAGAGGAGGCTGCTTACTCTGACCAGCAGCACGTCTTGTGGTTAATTCTTACCCGGAGGAAGGGAATGGCTCTTGCTCCAACTTAGCCTTTTGTTCTTTGAGAGTGAATTCTCTAAGAACTTCCAGTGAGTTGGCCGGGCGCGGTGGCTCACGCCTGTAATCCCAGCACTTTGGGAGGCCGAGGCGGGTGGATCACGAGGTCAGGAGATCGAGACCATCCTGGCTAACACGGTGAAACCCCGTCTCTACTAAAAATACAAAAAATTAGCGGGGTGTGGTGGCGGGCGCCTGTACTCCCAGCTACTGGGAGGCTGAGGCAGGAGAATAGTGTGAACCCGGGAGGCGGAGCTTGCAGTGAGCCGAGATCGCGCCACTGCGCTCCAGCCTGGGCGACAGAGCGAGACTCCGTCTCAAAAAAAAAAAAAAAAAAAAAAAAGAACTTCCAGTGAGTTGCAAACTGCTTGGGGTAACATCCTAGCTTCCCATGGTTGGCAGGATGTAGACACTCATAAAACATTAGCTAAACCAGCAGAATTCAGTCAAACCCAAGAACAATCTCATTCTTTTCATTAGGTCAGCAAAGTTTAGGACTTCAGTGAAGAACTTTCTTCATGCCTTGCATGAGAAAAAAGTGTTTAAGGGATGCTGTGCTGTTTACTCTTCTCTCTGTTTTCTTCTTCCACACAGACATGCATCTGGGCCTTTGTATTCCCTTTTGTAGTCCTGGCACTACTGGGTCAACCTCCCCTTTCTCCTTTTTTATATGGCTCACACATCTCCCAGTGTCCTTACTTCCCACTAGGAAAGAGGGGAATAAGCCATGTTTATTGAAAGATAAGAGTTAGTCTTTTGGAGGGACTGCTGGAAGCTCCTCAGAGAAAAAGAGAAACCCGCATAACTTTTTAGCCTCCTTTGATAACAACTGTCTAATCATTTGGCTTCTTCCTCCTTTCCCAGGCATCCTCTTCATACCACATCTTTTGGACATAATTGATTACAGAAAGCAGTGTCCCATGGCTTTCCAAAGGCCGTTTTTTTGTTGTTGTTGTTTTTGTTTTTTTGTTTTTTTTTGAGACAGAGTCTTACTCTGTCACCCAGGCTGGAGTGCAGTGGCATGATCTCACTCACTGCAACCTCTGCCTCCTTGGCTCAAGTGATTCTCCTGCCTCAGCCTCCCGAGTAGCTCGGATTACAGGCGCCCACCACCATGCCTAGCTAATTTTTTTGTATTTTAAGTACAGACAGTTTCACTATGTTGGCCAGGCTGGTCTCGAACTCCTGATCTCAAGTGATCTGCCCACCTCAGCCTCTCAAAGTGCTGAGATTACAGGCTTGAGCCACCATGCTCGGCCAAAGTTTTTGACAGCGTTTAATGTAATGATGATTCAATAACACTTCCTTCCTAAGCACTGTGACTCCGTTTGTCAATGTGCTTCGCTTTTCATTTCCTCTAGTTCAGAAGTGCTGTGCTTGTATTTCAAACTAAAACGTGCTTGCCTTATGTTGCTGTCATTGTCAAAAATATAAATATCTGCCCTGAGGCCATTTCTGGCTTCAAAGATGCAATATGGTGCTTGGTACAATTTGGGAAGTTTCTTTTTTTTTTTTCCTTTCTTTGTTTAAAGTGTACAAATCCATTCAACAACACATACCATGATCTGATTTCCTTTTTTTTTAACACCATGAGAGAATGATGCAGAGATTTTAATCATTAGCTCATTCTTTTGGTTTAAAACCATAATTGGTCTAGGGAATTTATATTTCATAAATTGTTCAATGCTATACTAAAATTTGTGGATACTTAGATACCCGAGATGCTTTTATTTATAATCTTGAATTGTACAAATTAAACCCATGCCTTTTTCTCGTTTTCTCTTCTTGATCCATGTAAGCAGCCCCAGCCCCTGACATTCCTGAAGTCTGGTCTCCTGGGCCTCCAGCCTCACTCCTGCCCTCACACAGACATACATACGATTCAGGGATGATGACATACTATGCACGAAAACCTTTTTGAGGAAAGATACCAATGTGAATGAAGTTGTGAACGTGGACTCCTGTTAGAGGAGGAGGAGAAGGGCTTCCTCATTAATCTGGGTGTGCTTGCTTTTCTGTCTTGTCGAGGACTTCCCCAAATAGTTCATAATGAGTGAACTTTTGAGAGATGGCCTTAGGAAAGATTCCTTCTCTGTAGCAGGAGGAAAGGGTGAATCGTATTTCTCAAAAATGAAACCATAACCAACAGAATATAAAACTCTTCACTGGCCAGGCACGGTGGCTCACGCCTGTAATCCCAACACTTTGGGAGGCTGAGGCGGGTGGGTCATAAGGTCAGGAGTTGGAGACCAGCCTGACCAACATGGTGAAACCCCATCTCTACTAAAAATACAAAAATTAGCCGGGCATGGTGGCGCAAGCCTGTAATCCCAGCTACTCAGGAGGCTGAGGCAGGAGAATTGCTTGAATCCGGGAGACGGAGGTTGCAGTGAGCCGAGATTGCACCACTGCACTCCAGCCTGAGTGACAGAGCGAGACTCTGTATCAAAAAAGAAAACTCTTCAGTGTAGTTCTCAGTCACTGTGATATTAACACACAGTTTATTAGTATGCATGATACACGTGACAGCTGTGGACATTGCTTTTTTCTCTTTCTGAAATCTGTGTGACCAGATGGGTTGTTGCCCCTTCATATTTACAAGTTAACTCCTTATACGTTGGAACTTTTGTTATTACATGGTTTATGATTGTAATTGTTCACAAAGGTAAAAGTCAAGATTTCCCATGAAGGCATTTTTGGATAATGTAAACATTTTCTTGAAATGTAATGGTTTAATTTAAAATGTAGGCAGTCTTTTTTTTTTTTTTTTTTTGAGATGGAGTCTCGCTCTTGTCCCCTAGGCTGGAGTGCAGTGACATGATCTTGGCTCACTGCAACCTCTGCCTCCCGTGTTCAAGTGATTCTCCTGCTTCAGCCTCCTACTCTGGAATTACAGGCATGTGCCACCATGCCCAGCTAATTTTTTTGTATTTTTAGTAGAGATGGGGTTTCACTATGTTGTTCAGGCTGGTCTCAAACTCCTGACCTCAGGTGATCTGCCCACCTCGGCCTCCCAAAATACTGGGATTACAGGCGTGAGCCACTATGCCCAACCAACAGTTTTAATTATAATAGTTTTGAAACCAGATTTATTACAAAGGTGAAGTACATAAGTTGCTTATGACAATCTATTCAGAAGCCAACTTCATGGTTTAAAAAATGGGGAAAGGGCCGGACACTGTGGCTTACACCTGTAACCCCAGCACTCTGGAGGCTGAGGCAAGAGAATCACTTCAAGACAAGGCTGGGCAACATAGTGGGACTCCTCTACAAAAAAATATTTTAAAATCAGTCGGGCATGGCGGCGCATACCTGAAGTTCCGGCTATTGAGAGGCTCCATTTCTAATTTTAAGGATTTTCTTCAGTCCTTTATTTTTCTCTTCTGTGGCCTTTTGCATGGAAATCCTTTCTCTTTCTAGAAATCAGGATGATGAAACACATGAGAAGTCGACATGAGGAGGGGTGAATTATGCTTCTATACTGTTGTGTGGCCTTACCTGATCAGGAGTGTATGTTGCCATATTTCATACCTGGAGACTTTTCAGCAGATTGAACTTTCAGGAAGCAATGGGAGTCCTGCTTTATAACCATGTGCCCTCTGGTGGTGTGGGATGCACAGCTGGCTGGCTGCAGCACAGCCCCTTCATGAAGGGAATATAAACACAATCTGTCCTAGCACTTGAGTACTCTTTGCCTCCGAATCATTTTTACTGTCATTGAGTAACTTCTTCAATATTCTTGCAGTTATATTCCCTGCTCAGAGAGGATACACGTAGCTGTTACAGAAATGGCAGCATTATTCCCCAAAGTAAGTCACTTGCTACTCACTTGGTTTAAATCCTTTTAAATGAACAGCAAGAAATTCTTTATGACCTGTATATTATATTAGCTTTTTTGTAGCATATGCAGTTTTAAAATATGCAGTCGTATAGAGCTTTGAAATATTTTTGTTCCGCATGAATGCTGATTTAATAAAACAAGGATCTACAAGTCATGTGCTAAAAGGCAAATTTAAAAATTTTTAAATTTATAGGATTTTCTGGAATATTGTACCCACATGGATTAATATTTTTCAAAAACTACCTCAAAATACCACATACTACTAAAATTACCCTGCAGGCACTTTGACCTTTGAATCAGAATATTTCAGCATCTCTTACGCTGTGGGCTGTGATGCTTGGAGTGTGTAAAGCACCCCATTGAGAAAGGGCAGGACCAAACTGCCTTTCACTCCGGGAGCAGCTTGGTTTGCTTTAGAAGAATGTTTGTCCCCTGGTTTTGGATGTCTGCCCTGCAGTTCAGGGTAAACGGTTGTCTTCTTCCTTTTAGAAACCCAAGTCTGACATGGTGAGGACTTCCCTTCGCTTACTGACGTCCAGTGCCTACCGATTGCAGTCAGAGTGCAAAAAGACCCTCCCAGGGGACCCCGGCTCCCCCACAGACGTCCAGCTGGTCACTCAGCAGGTCATCCAGTGTGCGTACGACATCGCCAAGGCTGCCAAGCAGCTGGTCACCATCACCACCAAAGAGAACAACAACTGACAAGGGCAGGGTGCCGCCTCCTCTGTTTTCTAGGCTTTATAAAGTCCAATTTCAAATTCAGACACAGAACTCTTCAGATTTCTACAAAAAGAAACATTTAATGATGGTTTAAAACTTTTTAAAAGAAAACTCAGTATTATTTTTGCATGTTTTCTAACCAATTTTCAACTATTTAACCCACTTGCCTTATTTTGTGCCTCTTTGCTGGTTTAGTTTCTGATGTTCGGTTGTGTTGTCAATAACTGTCAAGTTGATCACATACATCCAAAAGAATAGTTTCATTGTCTAAAGTTTGTGAAAACTTTTCCATCCCTTAAAACTCCCTGCCTATGGCTAAAACTATAAATGAAATTTTTCATAAAACATTTTCTTGAGAGAGTTCGGTTTAAAAAACAAAAAATCAACATCATTTGTTCCCTACCAAGCATCGTGCAATAAGTGAATTTCCTGGCCTACTCAGAATCTCTAAGCTTGGGGTATCTCCAAGCATGTATGTAGAGAAAGAACTTTGCCACTTTTTAAAACTAGTGTCACAGTCTCTCTTGGGAGGAAACAATGAATTGATCCATTTCTTCTCAGTGTTTTACCCTGCTAAATGTTTTGTTATTTAATGTTGTTATCTCAAGCTCCTATCTCTTGATATTTTCTTGTCATCTTGAAGGCCCCATGGAATGAGATAAAGCATTGACCCGCCACGGGACGTCTCGTGAAGCCATGTTCAGGGTAGGAGCTCCACGCACATCACCACCCATTGTCAGGTGCTCTCCCTCATCCCTGTAAGCCAGGAAGTTTGTTCAAAACCCGCAGCAAAGAGAAGCGTCAGTCTAACACGCCAGAACTCATTTTGTGCCACCCATTCAGGTATCACTACCGTGAACTGTAGGGAAAAGAAATCACCTATTCCCTGACGTTGTGTTGCACCTTTCTTCCAAAAGTCAGCTTGCCTCTCTGACCACTTACAGTTTTCTCAGATGACTTGCTTCACATTTTTCGTCATCTTTAAGGACTTCTTATAAGGAAAGATGTATCGTAGTCATCTGAGTTAGTTTCTCCTCCATCACCTCGTGAGTACTTAAAAATTAGACATCAACGGCCGGGCGCGGTGGCTCAAGCCTGTAATCCCAGCACTTTTGAGAGGCCAAGGCGGGCGGATCACGAGGTCAGGAGATCAAGACCATCCTGGCTAACATGGTGAAACCCCATCTCTACTAAAAATACAAAAAAAAAAAAATTAGCTGGGCGTGGTGGCAGGTGCCTGTAGTCCCAGTTACTTGGGAGGCTGAAGCAGGAGAATGGCAGGAACCCAGAAGGTGGAGCTTGCAGTGAGCCTAGATCGCGCCATTGCACTCCAGCCTGGGCAACAGAGCAAGACTCCGTCTCGGGGGAAAAAAAAAAATTAGACATCAACTTTCAAGAATTCCTTAGAGAGTGTGCTTTCAGCTGGCTGCCTGCTATCCCAAAGCTCTGAAAGAGTAAGGTTGAAGTGCTGGAACATGCTCAGATTGTTTTTTAGTTACTAAAAAGCCCCTTCTTGTTCTGAATGTGAAAGCTCTTCCCATTCCTGCTTACTGCAGCCATTCTGTGTGTGTGGTTCAGACGCTGGCCTAGGGCTGGTGATGTGGATGAGTGAAGGGAGCCAGGTACATGGCAGTAGGGCAGAGGGGACTACAGGGAGCCCATGGCCCACCCGGTAAGGGCAGTAGCCCCCAGCTCTACTCCTGTTGCCATGTGGAAAAGTGGGCCTAGGATGGCCACAGCTTTGATTTTTCAAGAGACAAGAAACCTAGATTTTTTTTTGGTGCCATCTCTCCATTTATAAATGCTGGCAACCAATTTGAACATTTTCAGAGGCCATGTGCAGGTGAGCTGTGTCCTCTAGGCTGACAACTCACAGTCCCCACCCCAGGGCCCTGTAAGCTGTGCAGTGTGAAGGCCTGGCTTCCCCAGACACACCTGGAGCAGCCTCTGAGTCTTACCCATAATGGAGCCGGCCTACCCTGTGTGTTATGTTGCTGTCGCTCCTGTTTTTACCCATATGTTCTGTCCCATAGTGGTCATTCACACATGTGAAGAAGACACAAGAATCAAAGTACAAGTTGCCTCAATACATGCTAATAACTAAGCCTCTATTTTCACAGGACTGATTCACGCACACCTTTATAGCTTGACCGTATGCTGTCATGAAAGTAGCACCCCGACGGTGCTTGCTTTACTAAGTCACCGTGTGTGGATGCTTTTGTTGCGTTTTGCTACACTGTGAGTAGCATGGGAAAAGGGTCCACATCTCCAGAAGACTCTTCCACTTGTTTGTCCCACAGCCCTAAGTGCCACATTGCTGTTGGTTGCTCCTGGGATGCCTTCTAGAAGGGGGCCTCCTACCTGAAGTGCAGGCGCCATCTGATAGCCTTTTCTGCAGGCTTCGTGTACTTAGCTGATCCTCCTTTTTCTTGCAAACCCCTGCCCCTGCTGTCCCAGGGAGGACGGGTCCTGTAGGGGCTTCTGTAGAGGCTTCTGGGAAATGAGCTGTCTGCAGGAGGTGAAGCAGTGTTTTCCTTGGAACGTTTGAGGACCTGCAATAGAGGATGTTGTCTTTATGGCCCTAGAGAAAGTCAAGGAACATGGGGACCAACGAAGCACTACCAGTTATAAGAATATCTCAGAAGAGTGCTCGGTTAGCCCACGGTGCCAAAACTCCAAACAGAAGTTCCCCGGTGGAATGATGCGGCCATTGGAGGGCTGCAGGTCGTCCTCTCCCTATGTACCCCGCCCATTTCCTGAGCCTCATCTGAGATCTGGTGTCAGAGTTCTCTGCTCCTGTTGGCAAATCGCACCTTGTCTGAACATTTGTTCCAGCCACCTTTTGCACATGGATTCCGTACCTTGCACTAGCAATGTCTACCTTCGGTAACATCGTTTTGTTCACCCTGTATTCTCAATGATCCCTTCCTCCCCATATCTCACCCTTCCCCCGAAGCCGATAGGGCAGAGGTGCACTTTATGAAACTGGCACTTGGCTGAACAGAAGGAAACAGCTGTACCCCTAAGCTCCTTTCACAGAAATTGTCATCTACCTTGGAATGCAAATAGTTCTTATTTGCCAAAGAACAGTGAATTGGGCCCAAAGATCAAACACAGCATTTCACGTAATTGGAATTCTAAATGCACAACTCAGGAGCTGTGCACGGCTCCTCAAACGATTCAGTTGCAGAATCGAGAGCAAAATTCACCTGTTTTTGTCCTCAGTGGCACCCATGAGCTTTCCAATAGTATAATTTTCTTTCTTTCCTTGTCCTGGTTGAAGGTAACGTGTGTTCCTAGAAAAGAAAATGCTGCATAGGAAAACTGAGATGCCTTTTATTCTAACGTGTTTGATCCCTGTCACTCATTATTCTGTACTTTTTATTGTACATTCTATTCCTGTAATTATTGTGCCCTTTAAGTGTTGTAAAATCGTTTTGGAATTTGTGCCTGGTAGTTATGCAATAAACAGGCTCTACAAAGGTGTTTGTGGTAATGCTGTGCTCCCCATCACTTAGTTGATGTTTCCAGATACTCTGTAAAAGGTCTGAGGAAATTCTCCCAAAACGCCATTATTAGTGAGATGCAGTGTTTCATATGCTTTGGGGCTCCAGCAGTTTTACAGTAATGACTATCTTTTTCTTCCTCTGTGCTTAGCAAATAGCTTTCTTTTTTTTGAGATGGAGTTTCACTCTTGTTGCTCAGGCTGGAGTACAATGACATGATCTCGGCTCACCGCACCCTCTGCCTCCTGGGTTCAAGTGATTCTCTTGCTTCAGCCTCCGAAGTAGCTGGGATTACAGGCATACGCCACCATACCCGGCTAATTTTGTATTTTTAGTACAGACGGGGTTTCACCATGTTGGTCAGGCTGGTCTTGAACTCCCGACCTGAGGTGATCCACCCGCGTCGGCCTCCCAAAGTGCTGGGATTACAGGTGTGAGCCACCACACCCGGTGCAAATAGCTTTCTTTAAACCCTGCATCAAGATGTTAGTTCCATGCATCTTATAATGTATTTATTCCCTAAATTTAACTTTTTTTTTCTTTTGGAGAGAGGTTCTCACTCTGTCACCCAGGCTGGAGTGCAGTGGTATGATCTCAGCTCACTGCAACCTCCATCTCCTGGGTTCAAGTGATTCTCGTGCCTCAGTCTCCCAAGTAGCTAGGATTACTGGCATGCGCCACCACCCCTAGCTAATTTTTTTGTATTTTTAGATATGGGGTTTCAACATGTTACCCAGGCCGGTGCGAACTCCTGGCCTCAAGTGATCCACCCACCTCAGCCTCCCAGAGTGCTGGGATTACAGATGTGAGCCACTGTGCCCAGCCCCAACTTTAATTTTTTAAATGCCGTGAAAGCCAGCCCAGCACAGATGCCCTCACTTCTTCCTAACAGGTGATGGGGTCCTGACTTGAGTTCAGTGCTTTTTTTTTTTTTTTGAAATGCAGTTTTGCTCTTATTGCCCAGGCTAGAGTGCAGTGGTGCAATCTCGGCTCACTGCAGCCACCACCTTCTGATTTCAAGTGATTCTCCTGCCTCAGCCTCCCAAATCGCTGGGATTACAGGTGCTTGCCACCACACCCAGCTAATTTTTTTGTATTTTTAGTAGAGATGGGGTTTCACCATGTTGGTCAGGCTGGTCTCAAACTGCTGACCTCGTGATCCATCTGCCTCAGCCTCCCAAAGTACTGGGATTACAGGCGTGAGCCACCGCGCCCGGCAAGTTCAGTGTCTTGAAACCACTGGTCTTTTGTATTATTATTTTCAGAGAAAGGCCCTCTGTGCAGGTTCCTAGGGGAAACTGGTATAGATTTGCATGGGGGTTCATCAGGGCTGCCCATGGTCACCAGTGATTGTTCTCTGGTTAGGTGACTTGGGACTCTTCTCCCAAATGGAAGAAGGGTGGGGTAGGGCCTGAGCACCACGGGTGCTTTCCAAGTGAGAACTCGGAAAGACGCCATGTCCTCCCTGTGATCCCGCTTGTCCAGGGGACGTCTGTGCAGGCTTAGGACCAGTGGCTCACACAGCTCACACCCAGAGCAACCTCCTCAGGCAGGAGGCTCAAAAGAGTCAGCAGCAGGCTTCCTGGAACCCTGGCAGGCTCACCAGGCCGAGCCCCTATAGTCTGGTTCAGCAGCTCTGGGGTGGGGCCCAGGAGTAGGCATTTCTAACAGGTTCCAGGGACCACACTCTGCGAAGTTCTGCTGTAGACCATTTCCAGGCCTTTCCCACCACACAGCTCCTTGGCTTCTGCTTTTACACATGTTTTAGTGTAGGAGAGTCATGTAATTTTAGCTGACATTTCCCCTGCACCAGGCACTGTGCTGAGTTCTTTTTTTTTTTTTTTTTTCTTTTTTGAGACAGAGTCTGTTGCCCAGGCTGGACTGCAGTGGCGTGATCTCAGCTCATCACAACCTGTACCTCCCGGGTTCAAGCAGTTTTCCTGCCTCAGCCTCCCAAGTAACTGGGACTACAGGTGCATGCCACCATGCCCGGCTAATTTTTTTTTTTTTTTAGTAGAGACGGGGTTTCTCCATGTTGGCCAGGCTGGTCTTGAACTCCTGACCTCATGATCCGCCCACCTCGGCCTCCCAAATTGCTGGGATTACAGGCGTGAGCCACCACGCCCAGCCTGTGCTGAGTTCTTGACACATATTCATTCATTTCATCCTCACTACAGCCGGATGAAGTGAGTGTTTCTTCCATTGTTCAGATAAGGAAGTTTATAGCCCAGGAGGCCGAGCCCCACATCCAAGGAGAGTGTGTCAGTTGTTGTCATGCTCCTTATTCCTCTTCACCACCAGGGCGTGTTTCCCAGCAGAGTCACAGTGTTACAGGATCTCTGGGGTATCGATTTTTCTGGCTGGAAATCTCTGGCCAGTGCCTTTGCCTGAGTTCTTGTCCTGCATCCTCGAAGAATGAGGTACTCAGAC